GACTGCAAGCTCGAGGGAAACTTCATGAATTAATGAGAATCGGGACGTGATTATCATATAGGCGATCCCGCCAAATGGCCTTTTATAATCACGAAGCTCCCTAGAGGCAATATTCAGTCAAGGGTGGGTGAATATTTAAGATCGATTGAAGCTTCGTGCTACTTCTAAAGGTTGCACACACTATACCGTGTCACACTAGGATATTATCATGAAAGTAACGTCATGTGTGACGCATGTACAATGAAAAAACATTGGTTTTTAGATGATCACGATGAGAGGTAATGCTGTTTTTCTTAATTTTGTAGCACCAAATCAAGACCTATACAGAATTAGTTATTTTGGTACTTGTGTTGATTAGGAATGGAGACCATCACGGTCAAAAAGCTCCAAAACTATTGGTCCATTCACGATCTGACCTTTCAAGGTCATGGTCAAATATCGAATCAATAAATAATATCTAGTCAATAAATCATACGTAATTGATAAATAATATCCATAGGCAAATATACTCAAGGATAGGGATATGCGATCTGATAGTGACCTTGAATTTGACCTTGACTTTAACGTTCAAGAGTATATGAAGGAGAACTCCATTTTTCAAATGAGATCCTGAATTTTTGACATCATGCATAGATCTCAAAAATATACGCTGACATACAAAAAATTGACTTTTGAATGTCATGGTCAAGGCCAACGTCTAATCGATAAAATAGCCTCGAAAGCCGTGGATATAAAACAATGTTCTCCCACTTTCAAAAATAGTGTTGAGGTCACTGTCAGATAGAGAAATACCAGACACCTTTGCTTAGGTATAATTTCATTTAGTCTCATGGTTTTATGGATTATTTGCCGTATCCGCCCTTTTGAACATCCTGAATACGCAGTGCTATACTGGCAGAGAACGCGGTGGAACTCAACCAAAAGGACCTTGTCTCCTCTGTATCCACATCAGAAGCTATTTTACATTCATTTTAACCTCTATGGCCTCTGAGTTGTCGCCGTTCAAACGAGTTTGTATCGCATTGTGCCAACATTGTCCGTCATTCACCAGCGGAAATACTTCCAAGTTCGACACGATCTTGGTATGATACGGTACAGTGGCCAAAGACTTTAGAGACGATTTTCTAGGACAAATCATTAAGACGAAAAATCACAGATGTGTGTCTGCTTTAGAAGGACTCTGATAATATCTCTGTCACGAGTGACCACCTTTATACGTATTAGGTTGCAAGCTTACTAGCAGAAATATTCAACCACAATCGACGATGAGTATGCATAATCAGCAATGGGGTATACCTTTGCGCCGAAGTGGAGAGATTATTTAAATAATTAGCAGACAAGTCGACATCGAGTCCAAGAACAAATATAAAGAAGCGGTTCGCAATGCCAAAAACTTTTCATTCAGTAGCCTTCCACCATTTACGTGTCAATAAAGAACGATTGTACCCAACTTAAAGGCCAAGGCGGAAGTACTTGCCAAGATCTTTGCAGTCAACTCCACCATGGACCACGGCCAAGTGCCGTCAATTCAAAGGGTTCCATACACTATGTGGGAGGTAACCTTTAGGCATAAGACCGTAAGACGAGTGCTCTTGTTGCTCATCAGCAAAGCTTCTAGTCCGTACTTGATTCCTGTCATTATACTGAAGAGGTGTGCAGCGGAGCTTGCTCCAATTCTTTCGCGTCTCTTACAGATATCTTATGAATCCGGCACCTTCCCATAAATTCAGAAATTTGCTCATGCCTAACCCATCCAAAAAAAAAAAGAATCTAAGACCCACCCTTACAACTACTGGAATATAGCTCTGCTTTCTGTTATAAGTAAGGTGATGGAGAGGTGTTTAAATTGCGAGCTTCTGAACCGAACGTCACAGCTTGATCAGTGACAGGCGGTATGGTTTCCGGTACCAGCAATCCACAGGGGATCTGCTAGCTTTCGTCACGCAATTGTGGAGTAAACTCATCCAGTCTTATGGTGAGGCTCATGTCGTTGCTCTTGACATCACGAAAGCGTTCTATCAGCTGTGGCACGCTGCCCTTTTAAGCAAACTTCCATCCTATGGCCTCCCAGAAAGGCTTTGCAGATGGGTGGCTGACTTTATCTCTGGCCGCAAGATATCCGTCGTAATTGACGGGTTCTCCCCTTCATCCCAAAACGTCAACGCGGGTGTTCCCCAGGGATCGGTCTTGTCTCCAACACTGTTTCTCTTACATATCAACGACCTCCTTTCCTGCACGATCAACCCAATCCACAGCTTCGCTGATGTAAGCACTCTGCATGCAAGAATTCAGACTGATAAGCCGATCTCTGCCGCTGAGCTGGAAAAAAGAAGACCAGCGGTGACGAGAGACTTGGAGGATATCACTGCTTGGGGACGCAACAATCTTGTACAGTTTAATGCTTCCAAAACACAGTACTGTACTTTGACGAACAAAAAGCGTTCTAGCGCTCATACGGTTTCGATGGATGCCAAAGAGCCATCCATTTCGGCTGGTCGGAGTCCTGATCACCGAGGACCTGATCTGTCACGAACACATCTCGTCAATAGCGGCAGCTGCTAGGAAAAAGCTAGACTATTTGTTTAGTAGAAGTAGTTTTCTCCGCTTGACCTTCTCACTCTATACAAGGCCCAGATAAGGCCTAGACTCGAGTATTGCTCACACGTTTGGGGTACTGCCGCCCCGACTACATTATTTATGCTCGATGCTGTCCAGAGGAGGGCGGTCCGACTGATCGATGAGTCCTCTCTAACAGACAGTCTCGGGACCCTTTCGCAACGGCGGGCCGTCGGCGATCTAGTTCTTTTCTACCGCTACACCAACGGGCTTTGCTACTCAGAGCTCTCTTCCATGACGCCGCCGCGCGATGTGCCTGCCAGACAGACCCGCCTGACTTTGGCTGTCGAAATTCCTACATCCAGAACTGGTCGATACGACCGCTTCTTTGTCCCGAGAACAATCTACAAGAGTTCTGCTAACCTTAGGGAGTTCAAAAATCGTATTAACAAAATTTCCTTGGCATAATTATAGCAGCCGCGATGACCCAGCATTTAGGCTTCTGCCTGCGCGGATACTTCGGTTTATAAAAAAAAAATCCGGCTGACACATGGAAGCTTTTTCTGCTCTGCGGGAAGTAACTTTTGGAAGTGTTTCTGGCTTTACTAGCTTGCGCTAAGAACAATAATTGTGCCCTACGGTCCTATTCAAAGAACCTCTTTTTTGTTTGCAAATTCGTATGGCGCTCCTAAACGGACAATGGAAGCGTTCAGCGAACGTACAGCAGTCAGATTTGATAATATGTTGCACGGAGCATGGAGACCTTATACCAGGAGGAACTACCGCAATGGTATTTGTGCTGTAATAACGGTCCCGAAACTTGATGCCCGGAGTACCAGTGGTTCTTGGACATGTTGGGAGATTGTCTCTCAAATTTGGAGTATTTTTATTAGGTGAATTCTTTGGGGGTATTATACTGTTCTGAAGGAAATCACAAGTTTCGCGAATAGAAAGTCTCCTCCGTTCTATCCCTATCCGTTAATTAACTGTGAGTTGAGCAATTTATTTGAAAATTAGCAATTCTGAAGTATTTTTGCGCTTGTGCTAGGGAAATGCTAGAATGGAACATATGAACATATGAACATTTTCTTTATAGTCTAAAATCCGGCTGCTTGATTCTGGTAAAGACAATCCCGCTAATCCTTTCTGATATTGTGTATCATTGATAAAAATCAGCTTTTATCAGGAAACAGATGCTGTAGATGCGAGCGACGGGATCTCGTAATACAGACTCAGATACCAAGAGCATACGCAGTAGCTGATACTCGCTTTCGATCTTTGCACCTTTAGTCATGCGTCAAGTTTTGGTGTCGTTTTTTGCTCATTTCTCAAAGATGTTTCATGGCTACTGCTATTCAGCATAAAAACGCTTAGCCGCTGAACAGCTTGACGTTGGCTGAAGGCTCCCAATCTTTTTACTGCATTACCTAGCGGCCATAGAGTCGCCAGCAACATACGGCCACATTTTTAATGACAGCTATATTCCGAGCCGTTCTCGTATTAGGCCGTTTGTTAACGAACGCTTTTTTACCGGATAACGGGCCGGTGCTGTCGAAGATTCATTTATTTCACGGAGATGATTCCGTTCTCTATATTAAAACTCCAAAATCTCGCCAGTTTTAAAACAAGTGTGCAGCGTGCAGCAGTGCAGCAAACATGTTGTCGACAAAGACGAAGCTTATATTAGCATACTATTTGTACAAAAAAAGGCAGATGAAATAAAAGCGCAAAAGGAAAATGTGGGTACATCCTATTTTATTGGAACGAGAAACTTATGGTGTTTTCCATACACTTTTTGAAGAATTACAGAAAGACGAAACTAAATTTTTTCATTTCTTTCGCATGACTCAAGAGAGTTTTCGCAAATTATTGGGAATGGTACATAATAAATTAAAACGTGCTGACACTAATATGCGCCTACCCATTTCACCTGCTGAAAGATTAGCTGCAACCATTAGGTATGTATGAATATATTATTGTTAATACAATATAAATAAAACTTCTAACGTATTGATTAAGTTTTATAATATTCAAAGTCAAGTTAATACATAAGACAAAAAATTATTGATAGGACCCGGGTGATTTTGCAAAATCGAAATCTATATTATAGCTTTGACTCACGGATGAATGTTGACTGTCGATTGATGACGGTCCCAAAGAATATTCATCAGTCGACGAAAATGGTACTCTAACATGTAATGTTTCATATTGACGTGATTCGTTCAATGTATTTTCACTATAATTTGTAGTTGAAGTCGATGGTGTAGTACGATATCCCCCATATGAATTTGAATTCATATTATTCTGGGCAATCTGAAGTGATTGTGATTGAAATGTCATTGAATTGTTGTTTTCATAGTAATTTCTCTGGGGCTGCAAACTATGCTGCGGCATATTTTTTTTCTGAATGTTTCGCATGGCTTTAATTACCTCGTACTGAAAATTTACGATATCAGCATCACAAAATTTTCTATGGTCGGTGCAATTCCTTTAAAAAAACATATTATTCTGCTATTGTCTTCTTTTTCGGAAGAGTCTAGTAGGTTACTAATCCTTTTGTTCAAGGGATCCTCTTTAACTTCTTTCTTCCCTCTCTTTTTTGGGACTGAACAGTCATCTTTGACCGCGGTTTCTACGTCGGTTTCAGCAGATGGCATATTTGTTTCTGTTGGTCGATGACTCACAATTTTGTTTAAAAATTGCATCTGCTCATAAAATTTATATTTTGTAATTGGCTTTGCTTCAGAACCTGACTTGTACTCTTTCATTTTCTTAGAACATCTCATCCAGTTATCTCTTGCATTGATTGCTCCACTTCTTTATAACTTCTTTGCCTGAAAATAAAAACTTTAATAAATAACATCATTTGTAGTTTTTTTTTACAGATACTTGGCATCAGGAAATACATTCACGGATCTTCAATACACATTTAGAATGGGAATTAAAACTATAAGTTATATTGTTCGAGAAGTATGTAAAGCAATATGGTCCGAATTGCAGATATAAATGAAAATTCCGTCAGAAGAGGAGTGGTTAATGATAGCAAACAATTTTGAGAGTGCATCGAATTTTCCTTTGTGCTTAGGAGCGGTAGACGGGAAACACATACGAGTTATAAAGCCAGAAGAAAGTGGTTCAATGTTTCTAAACTATAAACATTATTTTTCAATTGTGTTGATGGCTGTGGAAGACTCAAATTATAATTTTATTTTCATTGATGTTGGTGCCTATGGCAAAGAATGCGATTCGGCTGTATTTAAGGAAACAGAGTTTTGGAAAAGTTTAGTGAACAATAAATAGATTAAATATACCACCATATACCAACAAATTGGGAACTCAGTGTGAACTACCCTATGTATTTGTTGCGGACGAGGCATTCGCATTACATGAACATTTACTTCGCCCGTTTGGTGGGCATCAACTCGATGATGTAAAAAGAACATTTAACTATCGCCTGACAAGAGCAAGGCGGTACGTTGAATGTGCGTTTGGGATAATGGCGAATAAATGGCGAATTTTCCATCGACCATTAAATGTATCAACGGATTTAGCAGTCGACATAGTAAAAACTTGTTCTTTGTTGCAAAATTTTATCCACAAAGAAGAAGGAATTATTAATAATATGACAAGTGATTTATTTGCTACTGACTCTGATTCCGCCCTGCTCGATATACCTAGTTCAAATTCGGTAAGAGGTTCTTTAACAGCCAATGATATCCGCAATAAATTTGCGGAGTATTTTATGACACCAGAGGGGAGATTGCCGTGGCAGAATCAATATGCTTAAGAAATGTTGTATGTATTTCTATTCTAATTCTTAAATAAATAATGAAAACTTACCAAAATCGTTTTTTTCTTTGTCCGATAATGTATCGAAGCTTTCATGTAAAATCATGCAGATTTCTTTCCATGCCGTAAAATTGAGCTGCTTATTTTTGTAAATCTCTGTGGTTTTGTCCCATAGTACTGGTCTCTTTTCCACGGCACTAATTAAAGCTTCTATATCAATTTGGTGATCCATATTTTATGTACACACGTGGAGCCTTTTAAACACAAACTAAACAAAATTGTTGGGGAGCTAAAACGGATGTCCGTCCGACGTCTTCAACAGACTTGCATTCACTTGCACGATTCACTGCATCGGGCCGATGAACGTCGCTCGAGGGATATCGGTTGTGTAGCCGGCGGGAAGGCAGCCAACGGATCGACTCCCGTTGCGTGAACAAACGTTCATATACACCTGAAGACTACTGAACTACGGGCACCGGTCCGTTTTTAAAAACGGACCGTTGGCCGTTGCCGTCAACAAGAGCTCTAACGCTGTCAGATTGCCGAACCGTATGTATCCCACTTGATGCATTCTAATGTGTGTAATGGAGTTTCGCCATATGGACAGTCACATCGGCCCAAAGATATATTGGCAAAATAAGCCGATATGCTGATACACAGATTGGTATCCGTCGATCCCTAAAGCAGTAGTAATAAAATAAAAAGTCAAATTACCTTTGCCGGTTTTTTTTTATTATCTACGTTTTTCGATTAGTGAGCAAAGTGTGGTGCCACCGGAAAAAAATTCCAACGTTTATGGTACGAACCTAGTATAATGCGACATAGTGGGCGAATACTTTAAATTTTTAAGAACAACAAGGTAACTGCACGACGTCGAGCCAGTTTCGGTCAGACAGACAGGCAGACAGACCGACCATCCGGCGGATAGTCGTCACAACGACGACTGCTTTGCATACTAGATTGTATTAATTAGTTAGCGTAGAACGGTTGAATAAACAGCAGCGAGCAGTGCATTAATTGTCTACTGTGCATCTGCGTACCGCACCAGCTTAATGGAAAAACAACAGGAGACTTAACAACCGCTACCGCTTCGAAAGACTCCAAACGGAGCTTTTTGTTAGGATCTGGGAGAAGAGGAACGCTTTGTTCCGGATGCTTAGTATTTTTATCTTTAGGCAGAATTTAGATGAAGAGGAAAAATAGCGTCAAGTAGATTGACTCTATACTTCTCACGCCTTTTAAAAGGCTTCAAGTACATTTTTCCATGTAGTGCAATTTAATCTATACACAGAGGCAGGAAGAAGACCTAGGTCTTGTCAGAACCATTATTTCTCTACTCAGGCTTTTCATGAAAAGAAAAGAATCTTTATATTGCAGCAATGAGCTTTGAAGCACTGGCATAAAACTGTTTGTCAAAAATGTTTGATAACTGATTCAAATCGAGTAACCATATTAAATTACGCTCCAAACATAACGCATATTAGATAATATAGCACCCACCTCGTATATGCATTATCGCAGCGCCGCCTACTATTAGCTTTAATGAGTTACCCGCATCAACCACCGTTGCGTGCCTATAACATTTTTTATCTGGTTCTCTGATGGTTCATGTGCATGTGCAACTATTACTAAACTCCTTTAATTGATACCAAAGATGCAATATTTACAACCTCATACCGTACGGCAAGTTCGACCGATTCGCGATGCGTTTGATCAAAATGTTTTCCTAAGTTTCAAGTGCAAATGTACTATGTCTGGTATGTGTGTAGAATTACCGGAGCTGGAAGCATATAGCTATACTAACATCAAGTAATTAAGTTCAAAAGATTCATAATCTCCCTTTCCCTACAACCCCAGCCCCCAATTCCTAACCAGTTCAAAATTTACCGGTAAATGACGGACCAAGAACTAGCAGATTGACAGACAAACAGCCCCACTGACAGATTCACAGAAATGAGTGACTTGTTTTTTCGTGAAGTCAAGTGGGCTGACTCTATGCACTTGATACCCATTAACGTAACAGTTATTTATGTTATGAGTGTGTCAATTACTACTTTGTCTCTATTTTTGGACGCAGTTGGCCAAACAAACCCGACATTTGCCTTGATCGTTCTTGCTAGCATGTAGGTGACGCTTGATTTCTTAGATCTACTACAGGACATGCAAAAATGACTTTTTTTGATACCAAGACTCACATTGAGCTCACGTGGCTCGATGGCTAGAGACGCATCACCGGAAGTGCTGTCTGAAAATACACTAGTCGACAGGGTGGCCCATAAGTCCTTTGAGCTGGAAAAAAAGGAATAAAACCAAACTAGTTACATTATGAAGAATTATTATATTTTGTTATCATCTTTATTGAATGGGAATTATGTTTTAAAAATCACATCGTGAATAATATTCCACTCATTATTGCTCACTATAGGCAAATCTAGACTATGATGAACAAGTGTTACCATATACTTCGCTGCCATACTATACAAAGTCTCCCAGCATTGTACACCTAGGCGAAAGTTAAACCACATAATGTTGGATTTGTAGCGATTCCACCTTCTATGAAATCCGAAAATTTTGCTCAGTCCCACACTGCCATCTCTAGTTAAATAACCGGCTTTCGCAGCCTCTCTACCGGCAAATATGTTCGCTTGGCATTCTTCCTTTTACATTTGAACCACCATACAGGTAGCATGCATTTATCGATTCTTTCTTGCAACAACATAAATTAAAAACAGCACCATGAATTAAAATCAATTAAGTGTGCATCTAATTAGACAAAAAGTTTGGGAGCTACCTTACGTTGCTTACCCTTTTTGGGTGTGTACTCGGACCATAGGAATCACTTCAGCCTTACTTTTACGCCAGCTCCACACGTTGGCCCCAACGTTGGCCCGAACGCCACTCGCCCAACGTGTGTATCTGGAAAATAGCGTTGGCCCCAACGTTGGAGCGACCGTTGGTAGTTGGCTGTCGATTACGCGATTAATACAGAGGTAAGTTAAACATCAATTATTACTTTTATTTATTTACACATTCATAAACAAAGTCATTAAATTATGACAAATTGCTTTGGTACATAGTTTATTCAACGTGAGTAAAGGTATGATGCGGATTCATTTCTTATTTCTCTTGCATTTTCGGTTGCTCTTATTGGTATTTGATCTAAGGGCCTTAATTGTTGCTCTTGTAAAACATTATATATGTTACCCTCTGGCATATACGTCCGTCGAGAGTGCTCGGTGTTTTTTAAAAAATTATGAAGTACAACGCAAGTCAATAGATGCTTTTTCGGGTTGTAGCAGCATATTGGTTTTCAACACTCGAAACACCGATGTCATTATTCCAAATGCACATTCAATCACAACACGAGCGCGTGAAAGTCGACTATTGGATTTTCTATTTGCTGAGCCAGCTGCCGGTGTGCCAGAAAACGGTTTCATGATTCTTCTAGATAATCCAAAAGCTCCATCTGCCACAAAAACATAGGGCACAGGAAGATGTCGATCAGGTATAGAGGAGTGTCTTCAGGAAAATTGGAATTGGAACCATATATTTTGTTATAAAGTATGCTATCATTAAAAACTCCAGCGTCATTCATTCGTCCATGTGTTCCTACGTCGGCAAATAAAATGTTGTATTCACTATCAGCTACTGCTAGTAATATTATACTGAAATTGTGTTTATAGTTATAGAACTCTGATCCACTATTAATATGTGACTCTATTTTTATGTGTTTGCCATCTATAGCACCCAAACAATGTGGAAATTGCCATTTTGTTTCAAAGCCTCTAGCAACCACAAGCCATCCCTGATCATTTTGAGGCATCTGAAACAGAAAAAATATATGAAAATTAACCTGTGGTGTTTTGATTTTAGAGTATGAAGTTTCCTGACGAGGACAGCATTCAAAATAATTTGTCAGCTGGCGATACTTCCACACCATCAGTTAAAAAACACAGAGAATCTGAAATTTATGAAGTACGAGCTCAAATGAAGACAGCTGTAAATGTCCTTAAAAATATCTCAGATCGACCGCGCGTTGAAGTGGATGAGGTAGATGGTAGATTTATATTGTCAACTACTGGCCAAAAAGACTAAAAAAATTTGATGAGCCACAAAGGGAGATAATAATGCATGATATAGACGAACTAATTTTTCGGAGGCGAAAGGACTCTTACTTAAATATCAGTAGCCCTTCTAGCTACACCACATACTCGTACGCAAGATGTACCCCGGATTCCTTGGCACCTACACCATCTCCTTCATCTCATGTTTTACAAAGCACTGTATACCAGATTGCTAATGATTCTGGTGATTATACAATTGTACATCCACATTATAGCCAAGCAGAATATGTGACAGATCCTTCTACCTCCTCCACTTCTACTCAAAAGGTGGCAATTATATCAAATGACATTGTCTCACAGGCACTTACTCTCTCTCCCATACAAAACAAGAATTAAGTGCTAATGAAAGATTTCATTTTACTTTATAGTTTTTTTTCAGTAAATGTGTTCTTGCTTTTCAATTATGGTTTTATTTTGAACATAATATATAAAAAAATACTGACCTTTACAAAAGAACGCAATGCCTCACATAGCGCTTTACAGACTTCGGGCACGATCAGTGATATAACTTGTGGGGAAATCTTGAATAAGTAATGAAGACTTTTGAATGAATCTCCAGTTGCTAAAAATCTAAGTGTCACAGTAAGGCGTACTTAAGCTGGTATCGATTCTCTGAATACCGCATCTTGTTTTTTTATTCTTGATACAATCAACTGTAGCAGGTATTCGAAGTCTATTGAAGACATACGAAAAAAGTTATTAAACTGTCCTGAGGGCTCTTGATTGAAATTATTTAGCAGTCGAGTTCCATCGTAACTGAAAAATAAAATGTAGGGATAAGATAAGATAAGGATCTCTATCATAGGGATCTTGGAAAACAAAAGAGATACGAAGATGGTTAAATTAGAGAAATACTGCGCATTTTTAAGCCCAACAATATGCCGTTCAGAAAGCTTTAAAATTCCGAGTTGTTCCGGAGGTATGCCTAAAAAATGCTATTTAATACAGGGCATACTTTTTTACGCGCCATATAAAAAAATAAAGTTGATGATGGTTTCTCCGAAACGAAACATCGTGCGGAAAATCTCAACGCTGTTTTGTAGAGCTTAAAAAGTAGCCATAAGAAAGTGTCTTTTGTTTTTCCATATCCCTTTAAATAACGACAGAAAAAAATAAAAACGAAATCGGCAAATTTCGGTTTTTTAGGCATACCTCCGGAACAACTCGGAATTTTAAAACTTTCTAAACGGCATATTGTTAGGCTTGAAAATGGGCAGCTTTTTTATAATTTAACCATCTTCGTATCTCTTTTGTTTTCCAAGATCCCTATGATAGACATCCTTATCTTGGACACACTGCATACACATTATTAGATAATTTAATATTAAATTGTCTTGTAAAAAGCTGCTAGAATGGAGTGTATGGTCTGTACTTACTGGTACCGTGTTTTATCATGCGTTGTCATCCACCATCTCCTTTGACGTGGCTTTTTCTTTTTTTTCAATAACAAATGTAAATTATACGCATTCATCAGTACTATAAAAGCGCTTAGCGCTATTTCGGTTTCGGTGTCGGATATCTTCACATTGGCTCTGACAGAAAGGAACTAGTATAATAGCCAACGTGTGGACACTTCAACAACTTAACGTTGGGGCCAACGTGTGGAGCCGGCCTTTAGGCGTTGTCTTATCTTGGACCTTATTTAACAAATACGTGTTTGAAGCCTGTTTTACACATCATTTAAGGCTTCCCTTGAGCTACTTACGCCTTGGCCCTGATATAGAGCTTGCCTTTACCTCACGTAAGACTTACGATAAGCCTACTCCAACTTCAGCCTTGCTTCGAATCATAGACATCAAGTACTGATATACGACCTACGGCTTAAATAAACAGTGGAACTTGCAAAAATAAGTGACACTTTATTTTTTGATTGCATTGTATGACTTGCTTGCCAATAGTGGATAATTTTTAATGTTAATGCAAATACTATTTCTACATATATCCATTTTAGTTATGAACATAGACTATACAACATAGAATATCAAAAACTTCTTCCTGGAATATGACATTAGATGTTCCAGATTTACCTTACCATTTACCTTATTTCTCGTATTGCTTTAACATATGTTTGTTCTAGTAATTTTTACATGTATTGTATGTTTCGATGTGAAAAACACCCTTATTATCTTACATCTTCACTTCTATTCTCATCATTCCTTTCTTTTTTACTCTTATTTTCTTTACTTAACAATGTTGTGGTTTTCACGGATTACCAGGTTTGACGGGCTAGCAATGTTAGTACATCATACAGAATGCGTACATCCGAAAACGCCATGGTTTTACCACATACCTCACATTATAATAATTTAGCATCAAAGAAATACAATACTACATTATATCACAATATTTATTGGCTTTTCTTGATCCCACTGGCAGTAGCGTACCAATATCTCGCATCAGATCAACAACATACATCTTGAGTTCAGTCTGATTATTTTCTCCTGCTAACACCGCTACTTCGTTCCAATACAGTTTGTGCCTGCCTTTGACCAAGGCGCTTGGGACACATACCTTATCTCCAATAGCTTTGAATAGCAGTGCTTTTTCGAAGTGAAAACCCATTCGAAGGAAACCAATAGGTATTAGTGTTGTACCCAATTTGTATCTAAAATAAAAAACGTTTAAAGTTTTTTCCAATTCCCTGTCCATGGTAAACATGATGGTAGTATGGGTATATGTATCACAATACAAGTTAGTGTTATCTACTATGTACATATCAGGGAACATTTCGTTTTATTAAATTATCTCATTTACGAGGGTTGATCCCTATGTCTTGCTCCCGAAACCCTTGCCTATACTAATTTGAAATGTTTTTTCTGTGAGACAAGTGATCTTAGGAGGCTATCTAGCAAAATATTTAGCTTAAATGTCCAGCTAGTTTGATGCTATTCGCTATTTGGTTAATGTGTGACAAGGATTTTAATATAAGTGGATCCTGCTCATCAAAAAGCCTCATTAAAGTCTTCGTAAAAGAATTGTGTTGTGCTCACTGAAATTCATCCACACCATAAAAATTTATTTGATTATACTACCTTTACTATGGGATTGTATTAAACTTGAAGTTCTTGGTGTATCAATTGACACTAATTTTTAACGGAAAAATAGAGAATATCTGTATCATCTATTGTGTTGTGTGTTGAAAATATTTGATATACTGTCTTATTGGCCCCTGATTCATTTATTAAGTGTTTGGATGGTTTTGAAAATGTACTTGATATGACCTTTAAATGCTCCCATAGAGACAAACTAAGCCCAGATTCAAAGAATCCGGTTATACTGAAAATCGTATAAATGCCATAAAAATTGTACTTTTGGTCCGCTTTTCAGCATGTCAGGATTCTATGTGTGAGAAGACATCTTGTGAAACTCAACATGGCACTGGGCCACTTGTAACGGTATCTGTTGTTACAAGACCGACATGTAAACTGTAAAGAGAGCTATTATGATATCTTAATCTAAAAATTGACAGACGCCTTTAAATAAAAACGTTGAGAAAGTTAACAATTGGAGAATAGCTCCATCAGGCTCCATAATGCTTCCAGTCGTACCTTCTGCATTGATATGGCAGCTCTGTACCAAGCACGCATAAAATTAGTAGATTACCCACCGTATTTGCCACCTTTCGCCTCTACTAGCTCTACAATATTTCCAAAATTAAATCCTCATTCACGAGAATAGTACATGTACTACATGCATGAGCAGCTGCATATCTTGAAGCGCATTGAGGGATGTCATGTGCGAGAACAACAATGGCCTTCTTCCCGAAGGAATTTTTTCACTTCTAACTGTCACATCACATCTAATTTGATTAGACTTTGAAATATAATTATCATCACAGAACGGTGCGTGGGAAAGGAATGATAGTGTCCGATAAAGACAGCATATACTACGTATGTACGTCACCATATCATTCATTTTCCACTCATTTTCAAATGTTAAAATTTATCAAGTAGTATGGGGTCTTCAAGTTGGGGTATTGATATTCAAAAACGAATCAAGGTTCAATAGTAGGGAAATTCTGTGCACAATAATCTGTAGCAGCTCTACAAAATATTTGTACACACATTCATTACTAATCTAGGGATTTTTACTTCTCACGCCTACAGAAGCAGAAGTTTTGAAATCGCGAAAATTTTCGAAAATCAGAAATTATGGCTTTTGAATGTTATATGACATGAACATCACGAAAACCATGCCGCCATTAATTTCCGTCGGTCTGTCCGTCTGTAGGTCTGTCGGTGTGACGGTGTGCCCGCTAACCTTATAACCGCCTATAACTTGAGAAGTACCCCTGGTGAAGACGAAATTTTTACACAATGCTAACTATGGCAAGGACGCTAAAGCTTCGTAGTAATCGGTCCAGTGATGGCAGAGGAAAAGCCTAAACGATAAGAGTAAAAGTCGCTCAAGCTTCGCCTTGATTATTTTTGAAAAACATTTTAGAGGCAAAATATTTGGGGGTGGGGGTTGCAGGGCGTGGGGAGGGTTTATATCAATTCGAGTTCAGTATCGGGGAGAACATTGGATTCCAGATGTACTCCCGGTAAGGCAGGGAAGGAATGTCTATGGAATAATTTTATGGGGTCGTCTAACTGACATTTTCTCAGACGGTCTAGTTTGTGCTGAAAATAATCCTTTATGAACTGAGAAGAGGGCGTTGCTTGGGAAATACATAATCAACCTACTTGACTCCATTTTTTCATTATCGTACTTTACCTACTGTAGCGGTAAATAATGGCGATTTCTCAGCTTAGTAGTGGAAAAGGATATTTTCAACGAACGAACAAGTGATATCTGTGGTAGAGCAGTTTATCAGCAGTCGGACAAAACCTTTACCGGAAAGCTGTCGACATACTGTAAGTATTCAAGCGTATGGATCAACCCTCGTCTGATGTACTGTTACCGTGTTGACCTGGGAAATTTAATGTCGTCAACCATATATTGTGCCTGATCTTTATCAGATATCACTTTGTGTGTATAACAGAATTAGAACTGCACTAAACTAAATGTCCCTGTGGTCGAAATCGATAGGTGACCGTAAATAAACTATATTAATAAATTTTGATTTGGATTTCATAAAGGCAGCATACTTATTCCAACTAGATTCCTTCTCTGAAATATCCTCAATTTTGAACTTTGATCGCCTTTCCACATTTAGTGTGCCTTATCTTCTGAACTCTAAGCATCAATTCACAACGTTAACAAATCTCACAATGATTCGAATCTGTAGTTTCATTTTGAGTGGAACACTTACCGTATAGCTTGAACATGTTGCTGGAAAGTATGTAATTTGTGTGTGATTGGAGTCCCTTTTTCATCTGCGGGGCCACTCAACAGAGTATCTACATATTCTGCTAGCATCTTGACTCTGTGTTGAATCGGCATATCATTTTTCAAATATTTGTTAATGTGGTATATGTACCTTGCTAAGTAAGGATCAGGTGTCAAACTTCCAAAATTGATTGTCATTGGCGGTACGGAGAGCATTCCAAATGATCCAGAAGATCCTGAAAATATTTTTAATTATCTCAGAAACTGCAGTGAAAAAGTATTAACTCTATTTTATTTTCTCGCTTTGTTCTGTTTGTCACAGTCGAAGAGCCAGCGATAGTCGACCCCTACGCTTAGAAAAATTTCGTTATGAGGAGTATTGATAAAAACTACATGGGATTGCGCATGATAGTCATATGACTAGTCTATCTTCATTTGAGAGCGGTGGTTGTGACTCCATTAAGCCTAATAACCGTTAGAGGCAGCAAAATACTAGTGTACAATTGTGAATTCAGTCAACTTCAGCCAAGCAAATAAATTATTATGTCGATGAGTCTTAGCTTGTTCAAACCCTTGTACACGAGAGTTTTTTACTGAAAGTATGAAATACTCCGACTCAAATTACTTGAAAATTCTGATGCTTTCATTGACTCCTTTGGCTGGTTAGATCATCACTAGGTGGTATGTGATAGAACAGTAAAGAAGAAAAATCAACAGTTTACACACGTAAGACAAGTAAGTAGTCTGAATAAAGGTAAATTACAAATTCTTGGCAAAAGTTATGCTTGCAAACTTGGCAATGAGAAACATCAGGAGATTTGATTCTAGCTTCATTTCACCTCCGCTATAAGCCACTGTATCAAAAAATTCTTCGAGTACAACAATAGCGCATTAGTCATAAGGGACTTTAACGGTTTATTCTTCAAATAAAGTTCAGGCTCTCGAAAAAATAAATATGTCGGATGGGAAAAAACCTTTCCTACAGCCAATGAGGCTCATTTCATAATGAGACGTGGAATCAACTTTAATGATCCATTGCTTTTTTTGTTATCAAACCATTCCCATATTTCGTAAGACATGACGCCGAAACATAACATTAAAGAAGCAAATTTATATACCTTTATAAAAATAATTGGGTCTTAGAATGGAAGTAGAACTTATTACAAAAATAATCTAGAATATACGTCTTTATTAATAATAAACTTATTGTTGCATGAAACGAATATGCATGGATTTACAAGATGAGACAGTGATAGTACTAAAGATTTTCTAAATTTTACTTTCTTGATACCTGCTAGCAGAAACGGAAACACATGTAAAAGCTGTTACATGAGATTCAAGAAGCAAATTTGTATATCCTTGGGAAAAAGAATTGGATCTTAGAGATGGAACCTGCTACACTAAATTATTGTTTCAAAAAATTAAAAAAAAACATGCTTTAATAGCAAATCGAACTAGACAGTAAAAAATAATTTTAAAGTATAAAAGGGTTTAATTTGGAATAAGATCAATACAAAAATTAAGATATTACCAAACAATTCAATTATAGTAAAAAAGCTGATATTAAATGTTAGATTTTTTTTAGTTATCTTTTAAAAAATATAAGTTATTATAAAGAGATAGTCGTAGTTAATTCAACTACACGCTTTTTCACTATAATTGTTTTTTTATTGTAATAACACAAACTTTCCTATACTTGAAAACTGTTTTCTACTTTTCAAGTCGATTTGCTGTTGAAAGTTTCTTTTTAAGTTTTTTCAAACTATAATTGATTGCCTGAGTTTACAGCCTCAAAATGACAAAAGCACTTCCAATCAATAGCTTCGATGTTTGGTATAATTTAAATTTAGCAATTAATCTAAATTCACCTCGAATTTTTCTCAAATCTCGAAATTCCCAAAATTCTTCAAAGTTTCAAATTTTTTTTCAAAATTTCCAGATCATTTCAAATCCAAACTGTTCAAATTATTTTTTTCTTTTGAAAATGGTGAAAGATTCCAAAACATACATACATACGGGTCAAGCTACAAAAACCATGTAAAGAATGGCCTAGTAGACACCTTCATTAGTAAGAACCTTGTTGTAGCGTCACAGGAAATGAGACATGCAGTCACGAAATAAATCAGTGAGAGTATTAAGGATTTTCTAAATCTTACTTCTTCAATACTCGCCATTATTTGTCTGGCCATCTTCAGCCTTATTCTCATTTCAATATCATCGTCAATGATTTCTTCCAATTTTGTGGTTATAATTAGACAGACAACGGGACATGATTCAAACCAACACGACCGCAATTTTGAAAAGTGTGCATTTGGTTAGGGTTGCTGAAACGTATGTCATTCGTGGAATGAGGCTAGAATCCAGACCCCTAATCTTTCTTACCAACCACTCATTGTCACGTATGGAAGCATATATTTGCCTTATGTTAATTGGGAAATGGGCAACCATTTTTTTGCCTTTAGTAAACTCTTTTATCGGTAATCTCGAGCTTTCGGCATTCTCTATGGAACCATCTTCAGGAGCTGAAAGCACACTCGTCGCTGAGGATGCAGCCAAATGGTGTTTCAAAACAAAAGCGTGGATGAGAGCACTTGTTACAAATATAAAACCAAAAGGACGGAGACATTGGGTTTATTGATGACGAAAACCATCGTTAGATGTCAACACTATAATATCAATACACCCGAACACCTTAAAAATTATCGATAAGCAATGTTGGGGAAAAAACCTTCTAACCTCCTACAGCTGTTTCACGTGGAGAAAATGAGCGAACCGGAAGAGTGATGCATCAACAGATGACAGGTGATTGTCGCGAAGGAATGTGGACATGTAAACATCATTGCCAAACTTCGGGTATAGTGTATACGAGGGACGCTCGGTAAAAACTCATCCTAATTCCCAAATGCTGGATTAAATTTGTTCTGGAAAAAGTGTTATTCATATGGGTGTACGAGTGTAAGATGGTGATACACGCTTGGAAAGAGGGGTTGTATGAAAATATGTTAAAATTTATTATTACCGTGAGGGCAATGTTTCAAATAACAGGATAAATAATTGGAACTGTGTTTTAATTTTGGGAGGACGTTAGATCAACTGGGATATGTAGACGTTCTAACTTTTCGCAATTCAACAAGTAAGAATAAATGACACTAAACTGCTTAACATCAGCTTTTTTATTTAATGATCTGAGATGAAAATGTGGGACATTTCTAAAAATAGACGTTTTGAGAGTTGTTGTTCCTTGTCAAGAACCTTAATACTGCCATAACATATGATGCCAAAGCACATCTCTCTGGATGTAATCTGGCGTCACTTTTGTGTGAGGTTATCCTCCTTTCAGTGATCTCGATGTTTGGAATATACAGGGTGTCCGAGAAATAGGGGTTTTCCTTTTCAGAAACAACTACCCTTGAAATAACAAAGGTAATGTGTAGTGAAACGAGGGCGATCAAGTAAAAAAAAATAAAGGAAAAAGTACTCACTCTCCAGTTGACGAGAACAGCTAAGTACGTCTCTGCCCGAAATCATACCGCTCCAACAGAAAATGAAATCAGCTGATGCGCTACCGAGCAGACGCAGAAACCACATTGATTGTCTTACACTTAATGGCACATCTTCTAACAAGGAAGGCAAAATGTTGCGTAAAAAGTCTAGGTATTGCATCCCGTCCAATCGATTTGGGAGAATAAATGATCCAATGAGCCTACCGTTCACCATGCCAGCCCAAACATTCACCGAAAATGTTTGTTGAAAATGTGCCCGACGGACAGCGTGCGGATTTTCTACTGACCAAACATGAGTGTTGCGAATGTTATTCACCCCATTACGCGTGAACGTAGATTCGTCTATCACCAATATGCACTTCAAAAAGTCCGGATTATTGTCATGTTGATGCAACAACCACTCATAAAACCGCACTCTTGCTGGAAAATCGTCAGGTTGAAGGGCTTGTACACGATGGACGTGAAACGGATACAGCCCCTCTTCACGCAGCGTTTGCCACACTTTAGTTTTTGATACTTGCACTTCTCTAGCCACGTCTCTAGTGCTTGTTGAGGGATTCTCGTCTACACGCATGACTGTAACCGTCGGTTGAAGGTTGCATACTGACCTGACACACTGACCCCGACCCAGTTCTGTCGTCGGGTTGAGCCAGTGACCTTGTACCAATCGGTGATGGCGCGAGTCGCGGCTACAGGACGGTATTCAGATATTTTTGATGTTGCAGAGCCCTTTATCTCGGTTCTCTTAAGACATTGGTGTGTATGGTACTAAGAAAAATTGGTTATGTTTTCAGATGTACACGCCGTGTAAAGGAAAACCCCAACTTTGCGGACACCCTGTATAAACTAAATTACAGTTTTTACAATTAACGCGATAGACAGTGTTGGTTGAATCAAGCATCCTTCATTTTGGAAAACACACTGTTGACTGTGAGATCTGATTTACAAGCAAAATGACAATTTTAGAAATTATACAGCCTGATCAATTTTGGAGTTAATTCTTTGATGTATGGCAAGACAACATAACTAACTCTTCAAATAGAAGCATCAACAGTAGTGCTGTCATTATCATTAGTTGAAGAATTAATGGGCGTCGGGTTGGACAGGACAGTGTTGCCATTGTCAATATTGTTATTCACAATTGGCAAAATATTAGGACGAGAGTTGAAGCGGATTCTGTTAACCAAATACTTCGAATAACCATTATTGATGAATAAGACTGAAAGCTTCCTTAAATTGGAAAGATGGAAAGTATTGTCAGAGATTTTTATCACCCTGTTCTTCATTTGTTTCACCAGGTTTATCTTTATTTTAATTTCGTGGTAAGACCTAAAGTTCAGAAACCTTCCAGAGGAAATTGGTTTTCTGAACCAGTCTACCAATAATATATTATCGTTGGTGCGAATCAATCTTGAGTCCAAAAAGGGAACTGATTGATTATCATCTTTCTTTTTAACTAAAGATGTAAACTTCCGATCACATTTTGTATCTTCAATGTCATTAGTAAATTGGCAGCCAAAATTTGGTTACTTCATTAGTAGCAAAACCTACACGTTCCGCTAGTAAAAGAAAGCTAGTTGAATTATAAACAATAGGGTTATTAGTGGATTTCCTTGTTCAATCTACACGAGTTGACTGAATTGATATGGGCAAAAGGCGTAGCCTAAGAAGACGGTGCCACAAGATATCCCGTGATACAGTTCAATTACTGCATCAGACACATATTGGTCAAATACCTTCCAGCACGGGTATCACGTATTTTGAAAAGTGACATATGCCGATTTTTTTTTGTCACTATGCTGTTTTTTTTTGACATTATCTAGGTTTTTCGTCAAGACGTTAGTATGTATCACGGAAGGCAACATTGAAATCAATTTCAATGGATAAAATTTATTAAATGCAGGCCCCAGATCTGCTTCTTCTTATACTGGATGATTCAAAAGTCGTAATCAAAAATGAAACATCATAAACAGGACCGCATTTTATGGAATTGCCAAACTTCCCGGAGCAAGAGACCATGTCGTCCAGCATACTGTTCAAGAGGAACTGGAAGTGATTAATTGGGCGTTGGATGATCCCAGTACAAGTACTAGGCGGATTGCAGCCCAATTAGCATGTTCCCAACGTCTCGCGTGGAGAATTTTAAATTGGGACGTTTTACATCCTTACTGAAAATGCACAATCAAAACGCAGATCTTATAGATTTGGTTTTGTGATCAGATGACGAGTGGAATCTTTAGTTCTGATAAGGGACATATTTGGTCGTTAGAAAATCCCTGTTCTGTAATCATCCAGTCATTTCAATACAGATTTTCTAGAAATATCTGGTGCAGCACTTTCAATGGCCCACTGTTTATGCACGTACTGCCACAAAGTTTGAATGCAAACTCATACTTCTAGGGAATTACATAGAAAATGTGTTAGATGATGTTCCGTTAACAACGAGAGTACGAATGTGGTATCAGCACGACGGTATGCCACCGCATGTTCGTCGTGACACTGCATGGTTAAATGATCATTTTAGACAACGATGGATTGGCAGAAACGGACTCGTACATTGGCCTGCGATGTCTCCTGATTTGAATCCACTGGATTTCTTTTAGTGGAGCACTTTTAAGGAACTAGTGTATGCTGAACAAACTAATACTGCTGAACTGTTGATTAGTTATAAGAAAGAATAGATAATGTGTTTCATCAAATTCAGCCACAACAGATTTTGTGGAAATACGTTTTTCTTTATTTAAAAGATGCCGCACTTGTATCCGTCATTATGGTGGTCTTTTTGAATATCTATTGAAATAGAGCTTTGATTATCTAATTTGTTTTTTACGAAAACAATGCACTCTAGGAAAAAATACATGAGTTATTATTTGTAGCGAATTAAAGGTAAAATTCGAAAAATTGCGCGTTTCGAAAACAAAAAACAGTGGCTTACTACGTATATTTGGAAAAATAATGCCACTAATCCCCTGTATCTCCGCCACTGGTGCACGTTAATTTTAAGTACATCCTGTATCTTCTTAATGAAGCCCTCCAGGAAAAAATGTTACACAGAAGACCCCCCTCATTTTTGGTCACGACTTGTGAATCACCCATGTATAACCACTTTATGATTAAACAGAAAAATAACAATCTAAAAAAACTGGTTTTTAGTTACTGCATATCCTGTGTTAATTTTAGGGTACCCTTTATGTTATGCTTATGCATGTATTCGCTCCTTAGCTACATCTGCATTACGAACCACATGGGTAACATGTAAAAAACCTATTAAATGTCAAAAAACCTATAAGATGTCATCTTGCAAACTAGGTAGTCTTTAGGGCGCAAACAGTCATTCCACGTTTGCTCACTTGGATCGTTGTGAACGTCCATCTAAGGAGGAATCACTCAGCTAAACTACACGCATTATTGGTTGCATATGTTTTGTGAGGCCAAATGATCCTTGTCTGTAGTTTTTATCTCTGAGAAGAAAGTTGGTTGAATAGCAAGATCGCATCTGGATGATTATGTGTATAGTCAACGCCAAACAAAGTGGCGTGCACGTCATCAAGGTGGGTGTGTTGAAAAATTTACATTGTTGCCAAACTTTTTGTAAAATAATAAAATTTATTATTTACATATCTAGGTTTATAAGCAATATTAACCTCAAAGGAGAACAAAAATAATAGTATAATAAAATTATAAATCTGTACTTGCATAATCATTAAGTATGACAATTATTGATCAGATGACACTATGAAACTACCATATTTAATTGATAGCTTAAAGGTACTGAATAAAAATCCAAATGGGGTCCTCCAAATTTTATGCATGGTATTTATTTTACAGAATTCATACAGAAAAATGCATTCTAAAATTAGGTAAGCTACTGGTGTAAGCTTTTTCTGTACAATAAAGTTAGTCGGAGTTTCTTTCTTCAGCGCTGTCTGAATCTGAATCTTCATCACTCTCAAAGTTGTTTATTAAAGGTTCGATGTCTGGTCGATCAAAAATTCGTTCTCTTTCATACCATTTAAAAATTTCTTGCTCAGTATGTCGAACACTATTTTTCCACATGTCTGGGGTAACCGTTTGTAGAGCCTCGTTCCACATATCCAAACAGTCTTTTTCACTGTTACCATCTCTACCAATATGTCTGTTATAGTAACCTTTTGCTATGCCCCAAATTAACTCAATAGGGTTAAATATACAATGGTAAGGAGGCAGACGAAGAACTTTGTGCCCATGTTGTTCCGCCAATTCATCAATCACGTATATTTTAGGTGGTTTGTTTCTAAAAAAGCAGTTATTTTAAGAATAGGAATAAACAAAAGAAATATAAACTGTCGACCAAAATATATATAATTAAGAAGCATTATGTACCGAGCAACAATACTCAATAGCTCTGTTTTAAACATTGTGTTTAAAAATGGTATGTTTTGATTTGTCAACCAGTCTTGGATATTTTTTTTTGTCCATGCATTGTTGGGCACTTTGTTCAATATCATGCTGTGATAAGGGGCGTTATCCAGTATAATCATGGATGGACTCTCCAATTTTTCTAATAACTGATGTTGAAACCATTTCAAAAAATTGTCCTGGTTCATCTCTCCATGGTAATCGCTCAATTTTGTTTTCGAAGAAAATATCGCTTCACTACCCTCAATAAACCCATTTTCATTTCCAGCATGTAATATAATGTATCTAAAATATATTAGTTTAAAATTTTATAGTGCAAATTGTGTAAAAGTACATACCTTTTACCATCTGTTTTAATAGCTTTCACGCTTTTTTGGTTTCCATTTTGCCAAGAGCGACCTATGGTCCCATTTTGAAATATCCAAGTTTCATCGAGGAAGACAAACTGGTATAAGGCCTCAACCTTGGCTTGATTGTATTGCCTTAGAAATTCCACCCTTTTCAAAGCTATACTTGGTAGTTCCATGAGCCCTCGTCGCGGATTGTCCTTAAGCCACTTAAATCCAAGATCTCTAAGCAACCGCCTTAAAGACGTGGCACTACCATCAAATAATGCCCTATCTCTTAATCGAGACCATAAAGTTTGTATCGTAACTTGTTCTTCTGAAACCATGTGTAATATGACATTATAATTTAGTTAACAAATTAATGCAAATTTCTGATAAGTTATTATAATAAGATCTTACTTTTGTGATACATATTATAGATCACTTCTCGAATGGCACTTGTATCCAATGTCGCTGTGTTGGTTACACGTTTAATATAACTCCGCTTTTTCTTGGGCGATTCTAAATTTGCATCACTTTTCACACCCTCGGAAATACGACTAACTGTCCTTAAACTAATTTTTAAAGCAGCAGCAACACGCTACAAAAAATGAAATAAAATTTCACTATTATTAATATACATTACATATAATTATTAGTAACCTACCTCTTGAACAGCATTTAAAGGCAACAAAGGCCCGTTGTTGTCCCTTTCTTGCTCAAAGTAGTGCATTAACGAGGCCACGAGTTCCTTACACCGACTATTTAACTGTTTGGGCATCTTTATATACCAAAATTGCCTTTATCTACTCGTAAAATGAATAATTTTGTTTTGAAACAAACAGTTGTTGATTTACAGTATGCGGGGCCAAAGGATTTATAAAGATTTGAAATGCCACAAATTGATTCAGTGTCAAAATTAATACAAATGTCAGTTCCCAGTTTAAATAAGTTTCAAGGTGACAATGTGTCAACGCTGCGAAATCGGTTTAGTGCGTTTACATGTCGATAAGATAAGCAACTTATGTGATATTTTAATAACAATGTTTATATGACTATTAACCATAATAAGAGAGTAATGACCATTTTACAATTTATATATCACATTAATATGAAACTGCAATAGAGCAATTGTTTGTGATAGAAACCTAGGCATTAGGTCGGGGAATTTTTATCGTGATGACGTGCACGCCACTTTGTTTGGCGTTGACTATAATGGTCTGCATGTGTATAAAATCAGTGATTTCTGCTGTGTGAGAAAATCATTACTGAATATGCTGCCAATGAAGTATATCTATTGGCTGTGCCCGACGGGTTATTTTCATGTTGTGCTTCCTGAAGAGAGGTTATGTTCAAAGTTATAAATAACGAAAAACTGAAGAGAATTACGGGAAATCATCACCGCGCCCGCGTTGTGTGTAATTACTGTTAGCATGTATATGGCTTGTAATTCGACAGTGTACAGTGAATATAATTATTTCTTTTATCTCTCATTTTTGAAATTCAGCAAATTTGTATACGAAATTTCCAGAATGGATAAGAAAAAGTGGATGCGCAACTAATTTCTATCTTTGGATCTCAATTAAGTGTATTTGAGACAAGAACCCAATGTAATTATCATCAACACATATAACTTACTGCTTAGACCTGCAGTAATCCCATCTCAGAAGCAGATTTTACAGCACATCAGAGCCAAAGATTGATACCAAGCCTCATGACGTTTAGGCAACACGTACAACTAAGTGCTAGGTTAACGTCTTGTAGAAAAACCTACATAATGTCAAGAAAAAAACAGTATAATGTAAAAAAAATCGGCATGATGTCACTTTTAAAGATACGTGATACCCGTGCGCGGTACGAGTCAACTTACTTGAGGATTTTGATCTTACAGAGCTTCTTCTAGAGTTGGTGGATCCTAAAGAGGATGTGGATCTTGCAGACTCACGTCTAGTCTCTTTCTTCACCTCAAACATGTAGTTCACAACGTATGTTATAACAATAGGATTACACCTGGCTTCTAAGAATATCTCAATGAAAGGAAAAGGATCTTGCCAGCGCCATCCTTCAGTAAGTACGTAGAAATTATTGTTTAATTTATCAGAAATCTCTAATGTGCCCAGCTTATAGAACTTCAGAGGCAGATAGACGTTGTAGGCCAGACGTAATATTTTCTCAGTAAGTGGCGATTTCTCTTTGATAAGGTCTGCTAGTTTCTTGACAGCAGGAACAAGTTCGTATCTAAGAAACTCGAGCAGCATAGTTTCTTCTGCCAAACTAGTGTGAATGAATAACAAAATCATGTTTCTGAGGTTTGAACTGTTCGTCATCAGTAATATGTCGATCATGATAGAAGCACCACCAAACTTTGTGAATATAAGGATAAATTGTTTGTTGTTGACAAAGTAGCTCAACATTTCTGCTACCATTGTAGCTATGGGGTCCGACTCGGTATTTATAAGTTTCAATATATCTTCAAACATCTTATCTGATATCACATCGTTTTGGTATAAGGGGTGCAAGGCGAATCGGTAAATCATCTCCAATATTCTCAAGAAGGTTTCTTCGGGTAGAATCGTTGTACCCCTTCTGAAATATTCTAACAGCAGCGGTACAAAATCTACGCTGTAGAGTATGTCTACTGTTTTGGGAGATCTTCGTGCTAGTGTAAGCAGTGTTTTGATCGCTACCTCGTTCTGAGGATCCTCCTCATCTTTTCTGTCTAGTATTTCGGTCAGTGCCTTGAGGACCACAGGCTGCACCATTCTATTACAGCAGTAACTAAAATAAAACAAAAATATAAAAAACTCAGTACCTTCTGGTATCAGGGAAGACAAAAATGGCATCAAGTAGACTGACTCGGAACTTGAGTTTAAATATAAAATAAAAATTATTGAATATCGGAGCGCCCAAAGACCCTGAAGATTTCTCAATCAAAAATATAGACTTACTTCACTGTAGAACAATTTCCTAATACCAACGTAACTGGTAACATTATTTGAAATCGTCGTCTCTCAGATCAAAATGCTTTTGAAAACGAAGGTGATATCCAGTCTAGCTCTTTTAGTGGGAACTGAATATAGGATGTTATAGAAAATATAATACCTATGCTCTGACATATTACATATGGCACGGCATGTCATATTGAGTACACTCTTGTCATTGCTTCGTAGAAAGTATAAGATAGACTCTTCCACTGAGAGATCGTAAAGCGTTTGCTTGATTTTATTTATTTTAGACAGATTCTCAAATAAGGTGATGCATGGTAGGAAATACACTGGCTTGCAAGTTTTCACCCATTGACAGAAGTTCAGGAAGTCTAAGCTCTGTATGAAATAAGATGACGTTTCCTCTGATTCTATGCAGTTTATCACCACTTCCAAGGCTTTTGTATGGAATGCTTCTTTCTCAGGTGTCATCACAATATTTAGCATCTTTTCTACTAGCTTTTGATTCTACAAGAGACAACTCCATTAAATAACTTTAATGAAATATAGTAAGTGCACGTAAAGTATGGAGTAGTACTAGTATCTAGTGTTTGAAACTGAAACGCAAAATCGTATTAGAACAGGTTACAAGTAAATTGAGTATAGAGGGTCAAAAAGATAAAATTTCTCCACAGCTGAAGGCCGACGCGCCCAGTAGTAACGAAATCGAACTGTACTGAATTTATAATAATAATAATAATTAACGTCTTTTATTCGTAAAATTCTTACAGGAGGCGAGATTTAGATAATATATCTATTCTACCATCTAACCCCCTTAACAATACGAGATGTAAAAAGAAAAAAAAACTGAATTTGTTGAAAATTAATAACTGTATACAATAACGACAGAATAAAGTATAATGTAAGTAAAGGCATAAGCAAAATATGAGGCCACTTATGGGTTACAACAGATTTCGCTGCTGATCAAGTAGAACTTCTTTCACCTTTTCCTTGAATTTGTGCAATGGATTGGTTTCTTTTAAACTGCGGTCTGAAGAATTATATGATTTGATCGCATTGTAAATATATGTAAGTATTCTGTAGAGCTCTGGCATGGAATTGTAAAAGTCTTTCTATATCTAATATCAATGCCATGCATATTCCCTCTACGTATGAATTTGTTTACTAAATATGACGGTCTTTTTGAATAAAGAACCTTACGAGTCAGATTTAGGAGAAGTTACTTATATGTATATTTTATCAATTTTCATCCATTTGAGTTCATTAATGGTATTCGATATATGATCATACTTTCTGAGACTATTTACAAGTCTGTAACATGTATTCATAATATTTTGAATACGATTTCTTGTTATAATATCTAAATAGGGTTAGTAAACCACTAAGCAATACGATATCTTTGAAATTAAGAAAGATTCACACAATTGCTTTCTCGCATATTTATGTAATATATCCTTATTTGCAAATAAAACTCTGAGAATGGCGTATCACTGAGAAATTAGATAGTTTACGTGTACAACAAGTTTTAAGTCATCATCCATTATAATACCTAGGTCCTTCAAATGATCCACAGGAACTAATTTATTACCTTTTAAATGTATGTCTATGTCCCTTTTTAAAGTATTCTCTTTAGTTCTGTTTGCGTATACCAACGTATTTGTCTTCAAACTGTTCAAACGAAGATTATGACTACTACTGAACTTTTCAATTTGGGCAAGATCTTGTTTAATTTTATTATTTGCTGTTTCCAAGTCATTACCCCTAAATGAATAGAAAATTTGAGTATCGTCTGCAAAAAATTGTATGCTGCATGATTTTACCTCTGTTTCTAAATCTGAGATATATAATGAAAATAATAGGGATCCTAAGACTGATCTCTGTGGTACACCGGAACAAATTTTTTGTTTGGTAGAGTGCTGTTGATTTAGACGAACTTTTTGATACCGATTTTAAGGTAGGTTTGAATAAACGAAAGAGGTTTTTCAGAAAGTCCATAATAACTGCATCTAGACACAAGAAGTGAGTGATTAATGATGTCAAATGCTTTAGTAAAGTCAATAAGTATGAGAGCTACTGCTTTTTGGTTATCAAGTGCACTTGTTATATTGTCTGTTAAATCACAGAGTGCCGAAGCTGTATTATGACCTTCTCGAAATCCAGATTGTTTAGATGGAATAATTTTGTTAGAATATAAGTAGGCGCAGAGCTGCTCGTAAACAACGCGTTCCAATATTTTAGAAAAAATTGGCAGTAGACTGATCGGTCTCAGTTGACCATAGTTAGTAGGATTAGAACACTTAGGTAGCGGAACAACTATAGCGCGTTTCCACTGATCGGGAAATATCCCCTCTCTAAACAGCAGTGGATAATATGTGTTAAGTACACATCAATTTCAGGCATACATAGTAGTATCATATGTAAGGTTATTCCATCTGAACCACTAGGATTTGATTTTATTTTATGTATAATTTTAACAACGGTGTCAATAGTCACTTAAATTGAAATTTGGATTTTCAGTTACTTTTATTAGCTCGGTAATATGTAATTTTATCAGTACAACCCAAATCACTATTATCAAAAATTGAAATGAAAGCCTCATTCATTTTATACGGATCTGATAAGCTCAGGGCAATTATAGAATCTTTCTGAGATTGCACTTTGAAAGTCTTTAGGGTCTTATAAAACTTTTTTATATCCTGATTTTGAACAGCTTGTAAATAATAATAATTAATGTAGGAAATAAAAGCTATGAGGGTAATTTCTTAAATAATAACCGTTTTGTAACTTTAGTCAGAGAAACTTTATTGATGATCCTAAATTGTATCAAAAACTGAAATATGAGCATCTATCCACTTCTTAACACCAACTTTCAAATCTCGTCGACAAAGAACGCTGGCGCGTGATTGTTAAACCAGTTAGCAACTGTTTCTTTCAACATGTCAACATCCAAGCGCTTTCCACCAAATTCATCAAGTTTTGGAAAAAGGCGAAAGTCTGATGATGCTGTGTGGTGGATGCCCTGTTATACCCGACGAAACTTGTTTAGTTGCGTCAGTTCTTGCCACAACGTGAGGCTGAGCATTGTCGTGAAGCACAACGACGCTGCTAGAGAGCAGATCCCGCGCGCCTAATTCAACAAGAATTTAGTGAATTTAGAGTAGGAGAACTTTTTTGTGACTAAAAACCGAATCACTGAGCGCGACAAACAAAGCAGTAAAATCACACAGCCTACATCGACATAGACGTGAAACGTAATGGCGTCATAGTAAGAGACAGGTCAATAGTGTCTGAGGTTGAACGCACGTCACGTGAAAGGATGCGCGGGCACTATGCGCAATCGGTTTTCACTTCAAGAATGGCCCTTACACTACTGGAGGAAAGGAGCAATAACGACTTCTTGGATTAGTGAGTATGTAGTCTTAACTATAATATTTTCTAAGAAAGACAGCTCGCACTACGTACCTTGAACATACGCTGGAAGGCGTCGATGTAAAACGAGCTGATCTTCAAAATTACATCATATACAACATACCGAATAGGCAAATGATGATGTTCCAGATGCATCATAATCACTCCTACATCAAAATTTTCTATAGTAGGTAACATACTAAGGGTAGCAGGGGCATCCAAAAGAGCAAGAAGTAAGGTCACTGTTGCTCCAAGTAACTCGACGTCTTTGGTGGACTTCATCGTACAGAGAATCGGATTGAAAAGGTCGACTCTGAATATCAAATTTATTATTCTTGGCGAGGCTGCTAACTTAGACAGTATAGAGACGCAGAATTTTCTTATGGGAAGATCATTGTGGCTGATGTAGTAGTTGGATATCTCATCTACCTTATTGTCGTGTTCTGGTTGGTCCAGCTCGTATACCACATCTTCCAAGTTCAACAAGACATCCAGTAGCCTCAGTGATAGGCGCAAAATGCAAATATTTCTTTTGAACAAATTTAACAACTTTCCCATCAAACCCTTTTGTTGCAAATAGTTCAAATTGTGGAGTTTTATATCGGCATACTTCGAAAGGAAAAGCAGTGCTTCCAGGACAACATCGTTCTCGGTACTGTCAAGAATAACGATAGAGGTATCTACTTGCCGGGTGAGATAAGATTTTTCTTTGACGTCATCGGGTAACTTTTCTAATTTCGTTTTCTTGGTATCTTTACCTTTTATATCACTTTTCGGCATCCTAATCAACAATTTACCAAATGTGTCATTACTGACGGAAAATATGATATACTTCAAAGTATTAGCTGACAGAGGAATGACAACTATGAAGTAAAATGGAGACAAAATGCCTAGGTGTGTATTTAGATACGTATTTAAGATGGCACATACATATTGATAATGTAATAAAACATGTGAGATATCCAGTGCATGGATATCGGTATCTTAGTAAATGTGGATGAAAAAACTATGAAAACATTATACTACGCACTCATTGAAAGTAGACTCGACCAGTACCACAGCAAGTGGCTATAACAGGCCGCGTAGTTGTGGTTAGATGTCTCCTTGAAAGTTCGAGGTCTTCTAGCCATTTTATACTACAATGTGTAGGTTGGCTCTTGTGGACTTTCCCTCTCCATCTTTGTTTCCTCAGGTTAAACCCGTATCCGGATGCGTGGGCATGTGTATCTACTTTTGTGATTTCATATGTGCATTCATTTCGGGACTAATGAAGCCAGCCAGCAGAAATACGTATCGCTCGGGTTACCTATCCTACTTTCTGCTCGAATTCACTTTTCTCCTTTTTGCGGATTTTGCCCATTATTTTCCTACTTTTTGTTATATACCCTTCTCCGCATGATCATTTTCTATATATATATATAGCAATGTTGCTTTATTGATCAAAACATGTACTTGTATTACATATTACTGATCGAATCCTGATTGCATGAGGTGGCGTTTGCGAGAGAATGCAGATAGCCTGTAATATTTCAGGAATGTGGTGTAAGGAGACAGGACTCTCAGTTAATTCATATAAGACTGAGCTAGTCCACTTTACCTAGAGACCAAAGATTTTAATTCACTAAACCTCCATGGTTCGCCATTGGCTCTTAGTTAAAAGATAAAATACTTCGTTAGTGACCATGTGATAGTCAGCAGAATGGATGCGTGGTGCGGTGGCCTAGCATCGAAAGAACTTCGGTTACCCGCAAGCTCACCAAGCTTCAAATATTGGCGGCGCTGGGAATGACTGGTTTTCCTGGTACTGTCCTCATTAGAACCTGTACAAAGTGGGAGCTTATCTCGGCATATCTAAAGATGCGCGATGAGGAGAGTGGGCGATACGAAAGCCGGTGGTTAGTTACTGCAGGACCGGAGATACGTCAGAGAACAATCTCACCATATCTTCGATAAGAGTGGAGAGTGCCAATAATGCCATAAGATCAGACTTATCATCCCTACAAACGCTTAACGGGTGAATAGGGAGAAAATAGTTTCGTCTCATAGTCTCGTAAATTCCACAGATTTTTCCCAAGGATATAGAATCCAGTTGGTCGGGATTATACCTGGAAGGTAGTAGTAGCGGTATTTTATTGGCCATGTTGATACATAAGTATATATGGCAGGTCAATACAAAGAAAAAAATATAAATATGTAAATAAATAAACAAAGAAAAGATCACCACAAAAACCTTATAGATTGAAAGTAGCTTTAACAAGCTAAGACATGCACAAATGTTAGATAACTCATATTTAATTAAATTATTTGTCCTTGTGTTCTAAAAATTCACCAATCGTGTAAAACCCCTCACCTCATAAAAACAATAATTTCACTTCATATTTAAAATTTTTGAATGTTCTTATATCTTTAAAATGCTGAGGCAGCTTATTATAAAATATTACACAGTTGTAATGAGGTGAGCGCTAGAAGTGACTGGTGTTGTGTTTGAGGACAGTTAATGTCGTACTATGGTACCGCCCTAGACTCTCGAACTGGTACATGTTTTTCCAAACGTATAACAGACACTTAAAAATGTGAACACAAGGAACAGTTGAAATTTTCTTAGAAGTATATGTGATACTACATGTATTTCCAGGCGTAAACACTGTTGCCCCATGCCATGATATTATGGTTTATGTGTATGTTAATGCATAATATACCGTCATTAGTTCTTCCTCGTCTAAGGTGTCTTTTAGTTGTAATAAGGCGTAGAGTGCCTTATTAAGTGTTTGACACACATTTTCAATATGGTTAGAAAAAGATAATTTTGAGTCAAAGTACCCAAGAGCTTTGTGCTGCTCGAAGGCTTTGTTCCAGGAAGTATAGCAAAGTCGTTGGGTAGATATCTCTGAATGGCGCAGTTCATTATGACCGTTTTGCCTTCATTTAGTATCAGCCTGTTACGTTGACACCAGCCACTGAATTCATCAACAACATGAGCTACATTATGTTGGAGCTCTTGAGGATTCCGTCCGTGAACTGTTATCGTCGTATCATCAGCGAACATAGTTACCCTCCCGCGTGTTCTGTAACACAGCAGATCATTTACGTATAAAAGAAAGATTAGCGGTCCTAGGACAGAACCCTGTGGCACCCCTAAATCAAGATCCGTAGTATCGGATCTAACTGTTCCGATTTTAACTTGGAATTTACGTGCGCTCATGTAAGATATAATCCATTTCAGGGGTGTTAAACGAATACCTAGTGTCTCTAACTTCTCTTGCATGTAGTCTTTCGAGATGGCGTCAAACGCTTTTGACGGATCAAAGTGTAGTGATGCTACATATTCACGTTTATCTAGATGGAATGAATATAGTCCAAATAGTGGCAAGTCGTCGTTTCTGTAGATTTTACAGATCTAAGTCCATGTTGAGATTCTTTTAACCAGCCTTCTTTTTCAACAAAACAGCTAAATTGTTTGTACACATGTTTTTCCAATAACTTTGCTATACTTCTGATTAGCGAGATCTGGCGGTAGTTTTCAGGGTTTTCACTGTCTGCTTTTTTCAACACTGGTACCACTATGACCAGTTTCATTAAATCTGAAAAACATCCGAGTTCTAAGGACTTATTAGACAAGAAAGCAAGATGATCAACAATTAGGCTCTTTACTTAACGACGAATCATCAAAAGCAAACGAATCTTTAATGCTGCTATTGGTCATTAATGTTTTGATTTCTCGAACTGTTACCGGGGATATAAATATGGAATTTGTACTGGTGGTTGAATGTGTAGCGATGATTAAGTCATTAGTTTCGTTTTTGCCATATACATTCGGGCAAATATTTTTTGTGGTTTCTATAGGTATGAGCTATCTAGATCACTGTTTTACTTAGAATATATCTGTTGAGTTTGTTCGGAAGGATATATTGTCGATAGCCAGTAAAGATCTTTAAGGTACTTACTCCGACGCAAAACAGCTTCATTGATCTATTCATGTTTCTACTCTTTTGCTTTATTGGTGTGAACAGTGTGTCGTATAGTTTGTAGTGGACAACTCATATCGTAACACCAAATGAGAGAGTTAACGAGAAATTCGAAACCTCCATTGACATCCATATTGTACATTAGATACCTTTCTGTTTGTGAGACTAGATATAGTAATAATTAATCCCATTTTCACTAATAAGCCTTCTGGTTTACCTAATACTATTTTAGCTGTTATCTTGCACGCCATGATTATATGATGTTTCAAGTAAGTGAGCGTAATGGTCAGCTAAAATAGGATTGAATACTTCTCAATTTGTTTGATTATCCGGATAGTTTGTTGTCATACAGTCGATAGCTGTTGAACTAACATGAGAGTTTTTGTTTGTAATTACCCTTGTTGGTAAGGACGCGCAAGAAGACTTCGCTCATAGAACCAGCACAACAGGCAGAGCTATGTGTCATCTTAATGGTGGCATACCAAGAGGAGCTTCAACAGTTCATATTTGTATATTGTCCTATTAGAGCAGAGCTATACCACGCACCCTTCCGCAAATAAAAACAGCTCTGCGCAACACAGGCAGCAGCGGTGGTCGCAGTATAGACTCTTCGGTCTCCTGATCAGTCGACGTGCGCTGTGCGAGTTCGAAACCCGTCTCAAGAGAAATTTTTCTCTTGGCTATGGATGTTGTGATTGTCCGTAGGTGGTAGACGGTCTCTGACTGTCGAACGCAGAGGTACCACCCGGTGGATCTCGTAGGTGGGGCCAGAATGTGTGCATGTTGCACGCACACCTGTTCCCTCGCCTCCCTTTCCCCTGTATCGCCCTATAGCCCCACGGTACCCCATGGATGTTTAGGCCTTGGTAGTGGTTGGAGTATGAGAAAAAGAACACGGATAGAAGGGTAATAATAAAGCATTTATTGCCCAATAGCACAGGTACCATTTAGAGAGCAATACATGGTACAATGATTTTATTTACACAGTCTGTGTGCCATAAAGTGAAACAAAAAAAAACACACAGAAAGGAGGAAGGCGCTTTAAGTAGAGAGAAAAGAGAATATGAATAATAGATATTAGGAAACCAGTATATACTCGTATATACATACATATCCATACATACACACACACACACACATATATATATATATATATATATATATATATGTATATATATAGCCTTATCATGTAATGTTCACACATAAATATATAACAAAACAAACCTCTAGAGAAAGGCGTAAAAAAAGTCAAAGATGTGAAAGTATAGCACTTCATAATTCCTGAAATCCACAACAGAAGATATCACAAAAACACACAATCATATTCGCATTATTGCCCATACAGTTTATTGGTGCTTTAGAGAGAAGATTTGTCTGCGTCCTCTTGCAGAAAAAGGAAACTTTATATTTGGATGTCAATCTAGGTACCAGGAAATTAATTTGCGATAGCGAAACAGGACAGGCGATGTTACCATGCAGTAATTTGTATGAAAATATGATGGACGCCTGCTCTCTGCGCTTATCCAAAGAAGGGACGCCAAATCTATTCAATAATAGTGAGTAGTCATATCCTCCTGGAGGATAGACACTATCACTCCTATAGCATAGATATTTTAGAAATTTCTTTTGCACTTTTTCAACATTATTTTTTGTACAGTTCATAGATAGCGATCCAAATAATTGCACCGTATTTTAATTTACTTATAACAAGCACTGAAAGTAACTTAATAAGCGTTGTGCTATCGAAATTTCTACTATTTCTGATAATAAAGCCATATTTGCGATACGCGTTACTTATAATTTCACTGAGTGGTAGTTAAAAGTGAGCTGACAATCTTTAAAAGTTTCACACTTTTCCAATACAGAATCATTTATTTTGTCTATTCGTCATTGTCTGTCAGAGCGGTCCGTAGGACCTTTGCTCTTGGTTGAAGTCTTGTAAGTCAGTAGGTCTGTCAGGGTGAAGGAAAGGAAGAAGAACGGAAGGAAGGAAGGAAGGGAAGAAGCAAGGAAGGACTGAAGGAGGGCGAGCAAAGAAAAAGGAAGTGTATCAATTTGAGGGGTGCCTTGGCATTGCTAGTTAGTATTCGGCAATTTTAAATTGATCCTCAAATTAATTTTGGGTTTGGTTGTTGAAGAACATTTATTTTGTATGGGTAAGTTAAAAATTTGGCTTTCCGGGTGAACGCCAAAATGTGGCATTTAGAATTGTTCAAACACAAACTGTTATTAACACACAATGTGTGGCGTGTTGTGAGAAAGTAGGCACTGGTTCTAAGATTGGATTTATTCAAAGATTCAATGCGTCTGTGATTTTACGATATAAAATGTTGCGTATGGCTTGTTGATGCGAAGACGGGAGGCGAATGAATACGTGACCAAGACGGCGGCGTCTTCGGGTGGTTCCCCCACTTCCGCGTACACCTAGACTCATTGGTAGGACATGCAGGGCGCTTCACACAGTGGCATGACATGAGGTACGGAACACCATGTTTGTAAAAAAATTGTCGAGATAAGACTTGAGATGATCCACATAAGTTCCGTTAAATCCCATGTATTCCATTTTGTTGTACAAGTAGTTGATGGTCAATTTTGTCAAACGCTTTTGCGAAATCAGTATCCAGGTATATGACATCCACTTGCCCTATTGTCTACCGTATCGCATAGATATTGACTGAACGTAGCTAAATTTGTAATAGTGGATCTCTGCTTCATAAAGCCATGCTGATGCACTAACAGATGGTCTTTAGTGGCCAAGTAGATTCTGGATTACAATATTATTTCAAAGAGCTCTGCAAAATTATTCAGTATAGTGGGTATTAAATAAATTAAATTTGTAATCGGTCATTTCTTCAGTGAGCAAAATGACTTTCAATACGCCATATGGAATACTAAAAAGTAAAATTCGTGACATGGAATCGGATGGATACTATTGCGCTTCTTGTTAGTAAAGGTACAACATGTGTGTGTTTTGGAAGCATTCAATTGTACCAGCTTACTGCGTCCCCAAGCAGTGATATGCTCCAGGTCTATGATGAGATAAGGAATGACAATTTCTGAAACAAAATTTAACAAAACGCAAAGCAATTAAGATCAGTAGATCAATAGTGGTACGCCCTGTATAACCCAGAACATTTTTGAAATGCATTCCCACAGGGACGGCGCATATAATAATAATTACAATGATGATAATAATAATAATAGTAATAATAATAATGATCACGAGTATATTTTACTAATACCGGTTGTTCTTCAGCTCATTGATAACCCAATCTTTTGAATGTTTCAATTTTGTCATTTTGGTATATTTTTGACACTTTCAGCATGTACCGATTATTTATACTACTTATAGAATATATGGTATTTATTTACTTTTCATCCATTGCCAAATGTAAGCATTAACCGTTGATCTCAATTTTGTCCTTATTACCAGTGTGTGACTGTTAAATCTAAACAGTAAACAAGTTTTTATGGTACTATTCTCATCTCATCGCCTTCCTATACCTAGTTTTATTGATTTATTATTCTGTTCTGTTTATCCGGGTGTTTTTATTAGTATTGCATATAATTGTTGCGTTGTCTTTATTCTGTATAGATCTAATATATTTATCATGTGGTTATACTCATTTTACTGGCAAAATACGTTGGGTGCTCTTTCAGAATAAGCCTTCGCCAGATGTTTTCAATATGTCTAGACGTCTAAAATTCATGAGCTTCAACGTAAGGTCAATTCAGTCTGGTTTTCTAACTTTGAAGGAGTATGTTGTTGACTGTGCTGTCGATGTCGTGGGTCTCAGTGAGACTTGGCTAACCCCAGATATTGATTCCTCCTCAGTATTTATCAACGACTTCAATGTCGTTAGAGCAGATCGAAATAGCAGAGGCGGGGGCGTCGCGTTTTATGTGAGAAATGGTATTGCGTTCAAAATATTGCACTCTAATATCACCGCAGTATTGGAAGAACTTTGGATCTCAGTAAAGGTTAATCAACGCAAATATTGTCTAGCTATAGTCTACCGTCCACCATCGGCAAATGTGCTTGACTGTTTTCATCAATTAACTGAGTCTTTAACTAACCTTTCACTCGATAATGATTACGCAATTGTCATGGGCGATTTTAATATTAATGTTTTAGTGAACGACGTCCGATCCGAGATGCTGAACTGTTTTCTTGAGTCTTTTGATCTGTCTCAGTTAGTGAAAGAGCCCACACGTATAACTTCCAATAGCCAGACAGCTATAGACTTGCTCATGGTTAGCTCTGCTGATATAATAAGTGGTTATGAAGTTGTTGACGTAGATGGAATATCTGACCATCTAGCCCTAATATTTTATGTAGATGCATCGGAGATAAGCAACCTATGTAAACTGAGGACATATCGTGATTACTCTACCTTTAGCCTAGACAATTTCTACCATGATTTACTTTTAATAAACTGGGATTTTATATATATATATACGTTGAGAGATGTGGATCAAATGATTGACTTCCTGAGCTCTAATATCTTGTGCACCTTCAACTTGCATGCTCCTGTCAGAAACATTCGAGTTACCAAGCCACCAGCTCCTTGGCGAACATTCAACATAAAACTCATGATGCGAACAAAAAGTGACGCATATAAAAAATTTAAACGTACAGGAACGATTGCTGCCTGGGAATTCTATAAGAAAATCAGAAATTATGTTTCTAGTGCTACTAGGCGAGAGAAAAAAGCCTACCTCGATTATGTTATGAGACATAAAAATTCGAAGACTACATGGAATATACTTAGATCTTTGAATATCATTAAACATAACTCCATAAGTCTACCTCCACATCTTCAGGATCTCGATTCATTAAATAGTGCTTTTTTAAACGTACCTCAAACAACCAAATCATTAACTCAATTGAACCTTTTAGACAAATATGAAAACGTCAAGAATAGTGGTACTTTTCTGTTCACGACAGTTTCCCCTGCCACTGTAGAGAAATTTATTAATCGCATCAAAAGTCATGCTAAAGGCTCAGATGGCATCACAACTGATATGATCCGTATAATACAAAAGCATTTGCTCAAGTATATTACCTTCATTATTAACTTTTGTATAACAAATAATCTTTATCCCTCTTCCTGGAAGAATGCTCTTGTTCTCCCTCTGCCTAAATCTAATTATCCTTCAAGTTTTTCTGATCTTCGTCCTATAAGCATTTTACCAAGTTTATCTAAGCTTTTGGAAATGGCTCTACATGAGCAGCTGCACACATTTGTTTGTCAAAATAATTTACTGACCACCTCCCAATCTGGCTTCAGACCATTACATAGCACCACCACTGCGCTCCTGTCTATATCGGATAATATTTATAGCGCGGTTGATCAAGGAAAGCTGTCCTGCTTAGTTCTTCTTGATTTTAGCAAGGCCTTCGATACGGTTGACCCAAATATTCTCTGTAAAAAGCTTAGATACTTTGGCCTGTCATCATCGGCTTGCACGCTGATTAAGAGCTTTTTAACTGATCGCTCACAGTCTGTCATATATGAAAACAATATATCAACTTCTTTATTCAGAAATTTTGGTGTCCCTCAAGGATCTATTTTGAGTCCCCTTTTATTTGCTCTTTATATATGTGATTTTCATGAAACCGCCAGCAACTCAATCGTTCATCATTACGCCGATGATACCCAACTTTATAACTGCTTCGATCCTGATGAATATATGCTTGGCCAACATCAAATAAATCAAGACCTGCAGTCTATTTTTGACATATCTAGTGCTCACAATCTAAAACTAAATCCTGGCAAATCATGCTGCATTTTATTTGGGCCCAAAAAGAATCGTGAAATAAATCAATATCGCATTAATATTATGGTGAATAATGAAGACATATCCTTCGTAAACGAATGCAAAAACCTTGGTATCTGGTTTGACTGCAAGCTACGCTTCACTAAACGTGTTAACCAACTATGCAATGCGTCCTATAATGTGCTTCGTCAGTTATACCCGAGTCGAAGTGTCCTGTCGACACAGCTCAAGCTTAAACTCTGCGAGTCCCTTATCCTGTCAAAATTATCTTACGGTGACTCTGTTTATGGACCTGCTCTTTTACAACGTGATGCCGAGCGGATTCAGATGATACAAAACTCATGCATCAGATTTTCTTATGGAATCCGTAAATTTGATCATATTAGTAGCGCTTTTGACCAATCGGGATGGTTTAAGATGAACAAATTGAGGAAACTGCATTGCCTATCTTTGGTACATAAGACCCTTATTAAACTCATCTTACTTATCCCGCGGCATTCGACAGCATTGTTCACACGCAGTTTCTCGTACTGGGCACCCAAACTATATAACTGCTTATCAAGTGAGTATAAAGAATATATATAGCCTAAGCAATTTTAAAAAAAGGTTAAAGATGAGTTTAAAGCAGTCGGATGGCTAAAATTTTACTTTATGCATATCCACAGGTAATTGATTGTTTCCTTTCTCTGATAAGTGTTATATTCTAAGTTTTTTTTTTTCTCTCTCTCTCTATAGTTTGTGTCAATGTTTTCCAGGTCGGGTTGAAAAACAGCATAAGCTGACACTCCACCTTTTCGTCACTGTTCCTTTTAAATCAATTATTTTGTAATCGTGTGACGAATAAAGGCCATTTATTATTATTATTATTATTATTATTATAACGGGAGTAACAAAGCCCTATGACTATAAATAATAATAATAATAACAATAATAATAATAAATTGCTTATATTCGATTCTTTTACATAATATGTCCAACATTGACAAGTAACTAAAATTTTGAGCATCGAATCGGTGGAGTGTCACCATGGTTGTATTTTTCAATTCAACCGTACATACTAATATAAAATTGACCTGAAAGGCTCAAAAATGAATAATAAAGTGATCGTTATAACAGTTTTTGAAAAAGTTTCGGAGCTCATTCATGCTTAGGCTCATACATGTTCATACGTGTGATAAAAGTGCAATGTTGCTAAAGCGGCTTTGTGGGGTTGATAATAAAACGATTATAAATATCAGACTACTATTACATGTCATGTATCGAGCCCACAATATCCTGTAATTGAGTACGAACTGTTCAGCTTGGAGACACTGTATCTCTAAAACTTGTGGAAAGTCTTTTGGCCACTTTTGTTCCTCGTGTCTATAACAAACCAAACTAAAATAAACAGCCTGCAGCCATTTTCTATCCGGTTTCTGGTCAATATTTTCCAAAATTGATGTCGAAACATAGCTGACATGCCTAGATTTACAAAAAATTGTTCTCAATTTATATCTATACCTACAAGGTGGACCTATACCATGAACTCGAAATATCATTTGATTAATTTCTTGCTGACTTTATCCAATTTAAGACCATATCTAAGGCATCATTGTCGAAGAAAAATACTCTTTCACTGCCCTAGGAAAATATTCAGTTTGGGTGGTCTATTATCAAATTCCTAAGTTGTGTAATATCACTGCTGGAGTCCAAAGCTTGAAACGTTCAGGTTGAAGAAAGTCCGTGGCTTGAAATACAATACCTACCTTTGCTACGTCTCAACTTCATAAATGTATCACGAAGTAATCGTAAACAAGATTTCAGACCAACTGGAAGTTGCTGTGTAATTCCTACCTAAATTTTATTAATTATTCAGAAAATTTAGCTTCTCCACAGCAGAGCCAGCACATTAATTGTATTTTATAAGAAATTATGGCTACGGTGGAGTTAACATTATCTGTGGATGGTGAAATTTCTGAAACTTTGTTGTACATAAATACTGACTATGTATGTGAGGGAGTTGAGGATAAACAGTTGCCTTCTAATGCTAGTCGTAAATGTTAAATACATTGTTTTAGTGAAGGAGTTGCAGAGTGTAAATTGAACTATTAGTTCGCTAAAGTTAGTTTCCAATAATTTCACGTGCAACATACGATCAACAAATTACTGGTATCCGAATATTAGGAACACGGAACTACCCATTAACTACTGGATGTTTCAAAAATATGGAAGAACAATTCGAGAGATGCTAGTTTGGAAAATTCTTGTACGATTTCCGATATACGGCTTCACATCGCAGATAAAGAGTGTCATTAGAAATCTGCTTTTCTTAAAAGACCCTTTACACTGTATAATCCAATTACATTTTGAGAGCATATTAACTACCTGAAGCCAAGGACCAGAAATCGTGTCAGTGTCTCACGATGGTCTTAGGTGTGAAGGTTGTTCCTAAAATAGTGTGGAGGACCCTTGGTACTGATGGAAGTTGTGTTTCAGACTTAAACGTTCTTTGACATGATATATTGATGACATTATACTTATCTATACAACTCTTTCCGATATTTGCTCTACAATATAGAATAAGCTGCCCTCTGAGTAAATTTCGTTTTGCGGCCTTCTAGAGAAGCTTTGCAAATGGGTGGCTCTCATCATAAGTATCCGTCGTAATCGGTGGGGTATTCTTTTTATCCCGCATCAAAGATACAATGTCTCCTCAGAGATCGGTTTTTAGCTCCAACAATATTTCTACTACATATTGACGATCCACAGCGTTTCGGATGACAGCACACTGCATCACTGCATGCAGGGCTTCAGAGTGTAAACCCAATGTTTACAGATGTACTGCAGAAAAGAAGGCTTGCAGCTTGCATGCCTGAGGTGCTGTCGCTACGAGTCTATTGGGCATGTTTACCTGTTAAATAGCCAAGCGCAGGTATACTATTTGCTTGTAATCAAATATCCTTAGTCGGTAGTAGTTCATAATACAGGTCGATCAGGTTTGAGAGTGAGGGAACTACCCGAAGACGCAGCCGTCTTGGTCACGTATTCATTCGCCTCCCGTTTTCGCATCAACGCACAAGCCATATGCATCATTTTATATTGTAAAATCTCAGACGCATTGTATCTTTGAATAAATCCAATCTTAGTACCAGTGCCTATTTACTCACAACACGCCACACATTGTGTGTTAATAACAGTTTGTGTTTGAACAATTCTAAATGCCGCATTTTGGCGTTCACCCGGAAAGCCAAATTTTTAACTTACCCATACAAAATAAATGTTCATCAACAACCAAACCCAAAATTAATTTGAGGATCAATTTAAAATTGCCGAATACTAATCAGCAATGCCAAGGCATTCTTCAAATTCACGCACCTCTTTTTTTTTGCTCTCCCTCCTTCCTTCCTTCCTTTCTTCTTCCCTTCCTTCACCCTGACAGACCTACTGACTTACAAGACTTCAACTAAGAGCAAAGGTCCTACGGACTGCTCTGACAGACAATGACGAATAGACAAAATAAATGATTCTGTATTGGAAAAGTGTGAAACTTTTAAAGATTGTCAGCTCACTTTTAACTACCACTCAGTCAAATTATAAGTAATGCGTATCGCAAATATGGCTTTATTATCAGAAATTGTAGAAATTTCGATAGCACAACGCTTATTACGTTACTTTCAGTGCTTGTTATAAGTAAATTAAAATACGGTGCAATTATTTGGATCCCTATCTATGAACTGTACAAAAAATAATGTTGAAAAAGTGCAAAAGAAATTTCTAAAATATCTATGCTATAATAGTGATGGTGTCTATCCTTATGACTACTCACTATTATTGAATAGATTTGGCGTCCCTTCTTTTGAGAACCGCAGAGAGCAGGCGTCCATCATATTTTCATACAAATTACTGCATGGTAACATCGCCTGTCCTGTTTCGCTATCGCAAATTAATTTCCTGGTACCTAGATTGATATCCAAATATAAAGTTTCCTTTTTATGCAAGAGGACGCAGACAAATCTTCTCTCTAAAGCACCAATAAACTGTATGTGCAATAATGCGAATATGATTGTGAGTTTTTGTGATATCTTCTGTTGTGGATTTCAGGAATTATGAAGTGCTATACTTTCACATCTTTGACTTTTTTTACGCCTTTCTCTAGGGGTTTTCGTTTGTTATATATTTATGTGTGAACATTACATGATATGGCTATACAGGGTGACTTTGAAGTTGAGTCATTAATTTTCAGATAATGATTGTAGAAGGAAGATAAACCAAAATATGTGTGTAAAAATAAAAAAAAAAAAAAATTTTTTACCTTGTTTTATCCTCCCGACAAGTATTTCAGTGCGGACCTGTATTTTATCGTGAGGTGCCCTGTGAGGTCTTAAGTCACCTGATTCACGAGCCCGTTGTACTACATTAACAAAGGCACGAGGGGTTGGTTGCACTCGATTGGGAAACCGATCCGCATAAACATGTGCAATTTTTTATTTCGTTTGAGCCACGCAACAGACACTATTCACACGCGACTGACACTGACTGTATGTATAACTGAACTGAATAAAATAAAAACATCGTTCCAAATTCTTTCGCTTTTTTGTTTCCCATGCGATGAACCGATAAGGTGGATTATATCCGTTGTTGTATATATATACAGGGTGACTTCGAAGTTGAGTCATTTATTTTAACAGTGAGTAGATCTGATCAAAAAAAATGTTTTTTTCCTTTACCATTTTTCTGGTAAAATTAAAGTAACAAAGTTATAGCCCTTTGGAAGTTTGAGTACCGCCCTGTCTCAATAATAATATCATGTAATCGTGTTTGGCAACAACGGATATAATCCGCCTTACCGGTTCATCGCATCGGAAACAAAAAAGCGAAAGAATTTGGAACGATGTTTTTGCAATTAAGTAGTTTATTCAGTTCAGTTATACATACAGTCGGTGTTTGTCGGTTAGCGTGTGAATAGTGTCTGTTGCGTGGCTCAAACGAAATAAAAAATGGCACATGTTTATGCGGATCGGTTTCCCAATCGAGTGCAACCAACCCCTCGTGCCTTTGTTAATGTAGTACAACGGGCTCGTGAATCAGGTGACTTAAGACCTCACAGGGGACCTCACGATCAAATACAGGTCCGCACTGAAATACTTGTCGGGAGGATACTTTATAAAACAAGGTAAACATTTTTTTTTTATTTTTTTTTATTTTTACACACATATTCTGGTTTATCTTCCTTCTACAATCATTATCTGAAAATTAATGACTCAACTTCAAAGTCACCCTGTATATATATATATATATATATATATATATGTGTGTGTGTGTGTGTGTTTGTGTGTGTGAAACTTATTTAAACTGGGAACTGACATTTGTATTAATTTTGACACTGAATCAATTTGTGGCATTTCAAATCTTTATAAATCCTTTGGCCCCGCATACTGTAAATCAACAACTGTTTGTTTCAAAACAAAATTATTCATTTTACGAGTAGATAAAGGCAATTTTGGTATATAAAGATGCCCAAACAGTTAAATAGTCGGTGTAAGGAACTCGTGGCCTCGTTAATGCACTACTTTGAGCAAGAAAGGGACAACAACGGGCCTTTGTTG